GTACTCATATCAGAAATTTGTTTTAGGTAGGCAATGAACGTTACCAATTTCAGTTACTATGAAACTCTTAGATCCTTTGAGATTCATTGAAACTATTCAATGACATGTTAATCTTGGATTTGCACATCCTCTTTTTGTGTCTGGGATGCCGAGGTATCACAAATAAGATGCTGAACTAACCATGCAATAAAGTGTGACCCTTGATTATGTTATGGTCCTCAAATTAACGTTTCGGTTAACCAGACACGTTTCGTCAACAAGACCACGACCATAAGCGTCACCTCACTTTCTTATTATATCTCAAATTGATGTGTCGGTAAACTACACACGCTCCATAAATAGACTATAAGGACCAAATGTACATTATTCATGGATTAGAAACCATTCACATTTTTCTAAAATAACTTTTTTTAGTACTTTTATTTGTTATACTTTTAACGATACATCATCTTATCGAACCCTTTCGGATAACGACAATCCACCACATAAAGAAGTGGTGAGTGAAAAGTACACTCATTCAGCAGTAATTTTATAGGTAGTTTCCTTATATGTAACATCTGGGATTTTTCCAGGTATTATGAGCAGTTATCTTAATAATTATGGAAATTGTTTGGTTGGGCTTGGGCCTTTGGGCCTTACTAGTGGGCTGAGTTAAATGCGTACACTGCACGTACATTGCTATGTATGCCCAGCGTACTCGTGAGAAGGAACCGCAGAGGCCATGCACGTACGCCCATCATATGTGTACAACTTCTTAAGCCCTAAGATTTAGGGTTTACTCCCTATATAAAGAACATAACCCCTGTTGGTTCAACCTCCCTTCACCCTTAACCAGCCACCACGAAAACCCTAGCTCATTTTGTGTGCTTTGGTGTTCTAGAAGCCATTTGAGAGTGTTTGTGTGTTGTGTTAGTGAGAAGAGAAGAAAGAAGCTTGAAGAAAAAGCAAGGATCCACCAAGAGCTTGTAGATCCAGAGGATTGGCATCATTTCTGACTCTTTTGAGGTATCAAGTTCATTTCTTGGCCATTGTATGCTTAGATTAGTTTATTTAGGGGTTTTATGTCTCCTTTAGACCCCATTGTTAAGAGTGTTTGGGTATTGACGGTTTCAAAGCATAAGAGCTGTCCTTTTGGACTCTTAGAAGCATCTATGGTCATAAAAATCGAATCTTAATGGTTAAGCCACAACCATGCAAGTGCTAGTTAGTCTTGAAGCTTGTTTAATGGACCAAAATCATGTTTTGACCCCAACCATGCATGTAAGCACATAAAGTTTGTGACTTTATGGCTTAGGAGGTCTTAAAGGATCTGGATCTACGTTCTGGATATATAGACTTAACGAATTAAGCCACAAATGAAGTCCCAAGGAAGCTGGCCAGTACGTTGGGCGTACTCCCCGGTATGCCGCGCGTACGGGGTCAGCTCCCCATTTTAGTCAAGACCAGTGTACATTGGGCGTACATGCTAGGTATGTCGTACGTACGCATGCAAATTGGAAAAGTTGGGATTTTGGGCTTTTAGAGAATGGGCCTGGACTTTTGGGCCCCATGGCCTACTGTGAAGTATAAGTTTGGACTTAGAAATCTGGAACTTAAGTATTGGGCCTTTTGGGCAAAGATTGGACCCTTGGGAATTATTATATTTGGAATTGGAACTTTTGGGCCCATTTGGGGGGGGGGGGGATAAGGCTCAATTTAGAAATTAGGCAATTAGTGGGCTCTTAGGGAATTTTTTATGGGCCATATGAGAGCTGGGCCTAATAAGCTAGAATTGGGATTCATGTATATCCCAATTTGACCAATAGGTAAAATGGTCATTTTACCCTAAATAATGTTATAGACTCTGATTGAGTGTTAATGTGACTATGATAGCCGGGAGTCATCGGAGCAGCTGTTAGAGATTTCTTTCGTGAAATTTGACACACAATTTTATTAGGTGAGTTACCTTCCATTAGAAGTGGGTCTAAGGCACTAAGGCCGATCCACTAGTAGTTGATTATAGTTGAGATGATTGTCTTTGTGATAATTGTCTAGTTTGCTATTACTTGATATGTTATATGTGCCAGTATCATATGTTCTATATGATAGTGGTAGTAGGAGGGGAATAGTCCCCCAATTCGGTTGCTAGGACCGAAGGGTAGGTCGGACATCCTAGGTATGTCTGATAGCACGATTATGATATGTTATTACATGATAGTAGTAGGGGTGAAATAGTCCTCGTGACCAAGTGAGATAGACCGGTGGGTAGGCAGACACCCCATAATGGTCTGACACGGGTAAGCCAACACCCCATAATGGCTTGACACGGGTAGGTTGGGCACCCTAGAATTACGCGGCAATATGTATGTTGTATGATATGTGGTATGTTAGGGGAACTCACTAAGCTTCGTGCTTACAGTTTTAGTTTTGGTATTAGGCACCTCTTCAGCGGCAGGGTAGCAGCGCATCGCACACACATGATTTTCTGCTTTGAGAACCCTGGAATTGTACTCTGACATTTTACTATTTGATGTCATGGTTTTTGAGACTTGTGATTCGTGATTTGATGTATTGAAATGATAGCAACGATGTTTTCCGTAAACCATTTTTATAAGTAGCATAATTAAACAAAAAAATTTGGGTCTCGATTTTGGGATGTTACATTATACCTCTCTTATGGCATGACTTCATGAATGAGACATGCTCTTGATTCGACTAACGATCATTACTTAAACATGTGAGGACACATGTTGTAATTCTTTTACATATAGTAATTATATTACATATATAACTTTTTTTTGTCTTGACGTATTCTATTATAATCTTTTATAATTATATGTAAGGTAAATTTTAAAAAACTTAAAATTATATGATTTAAACAAATTATCTTTAACTAATCTTATAATTAATTGATTTCAAATCATTATTTGTAATTCCTAGTCTTTTAGGCATATTTATCTTGCAGATTAATTGTCCAATTTAAACAGTTTAAAATAATGTTTAAAACTAAAGATAAACCTTAAATCCAAAATTATAGCAAAAAATCCCGAAACCTGCCATTCTCCAGAAAGTGTGTCCGTGTCCATAGGCGCGTCACGCCTTGCGACTAGTAGGTTTCTTCAGTTTTTAACAGTATTGTCTATAATCAAATCCTAATGGCTCTGATGCCACTTATGAGTTTACTAGGCATCTATACACATAAATTAGGCAACAATATATTTGATATAAACTGTAAGTGTACATGGACCCTAAGATCTAGGTTTTACTATTATAACAACATACTTTCAAACTAGCATTATAAACTAAAGAAAGGGATTGGTTTACTAACCTTTTGACAAAATTGAACTTGTCACTTGAAGACTTGGTGATTTTGATATTCGTGTTGCTCTTGGAAAGTCTAGCACCCAAAGTAGAATGTCTCACACCCAAAAAACTAAAACCCTAGAACTTTAAGATATATATATATATATATATATATATATATATATATATATATATATATATTTATATATATATATATAGAGAGAGAGAGAGATAGAGAGATAGAGAGAGAGAGAGAGAGGTTGAAAATCGGTTTTCTCAACCTTATAGGGAGTATGAACGATTTCTCTAAGGCCTAGATATATCTTTATATGGTTGTGGTATTTTCCAGATAATCATGATTTGAATCAATCAAATAATCAGATTTAATCATAATTCAAATCTTTTCCTTATTTGTTATCTAGATTGATTCTGGAAGCTGTCTGTAAGCTACTCAAAATCGTCCATCTGTAGGGAATTCCAAAATATTCATGTTACTCAACTATTAATCAATTACTATTCAGCCCATCCACCTTTAGATTAAATGTAACTAATTCCAAATTAATTCTAAATTAATCCTGATTAATTTTAACCAGTTTCTAATTAATTTATTAACCTGTAATAAATTAATAAACAATTTATCTCAATCTCTTTTGTAGCTATTTTAGCTCTTGAGGGCAACATAAAAAAAAGACTTTGTTATTATTCCCAACGTTATACCAATTACTTAATGATATTGGAAACCTATTTCTAGCACGATCTTCCTCTCTCGTTATCCCTTCTACTTTATTTCTAGTTCGTTTCTTTTGTACTCAACGAACTTCTAGAACATTCCCTTTGCAAATATCCTCATCTAGGATCAAATCGTGATTGCCTTCAAATGTAAGCTTAGTAGTTCTTGATGAACTGCTATCTATTGTAAATGTTCCAGAACAACTCTCGGAAAATGAATATAATAACACTAATGTGTGGATTTTATCATCAAATTTAATTTCAACTGATACTAACCTAGATAGTATTGAATTAAACTTTATGTGACCTGTCTGTCGAAATTCCTTCCTTCATCTTCATATGCACCAAGTATCTAATTAAGAAAACCTTATTCTCAACCGTTGTTTATCATACATGTTAGATAACGCATTGATCAACCCAACCGTTGTCTTCTTGTTGACAATTGATTACACAACATTCTATGACAATGACAACCTCACAGCTCAAAGAGACTATCGATTCAACATGGTCCAATCCTCTTGGTTCGTCGCTTCAAGTATCTTTCGAGACAATGGGTCCGTGTAACTTATTCCAATAGAGATCTACGATTGACATCTTCCAAAAGTCAAAGACCTTCAAATTTATTGATCTTAACCTCCCTGTCTTCAACCATAGCTCTAGTATAATTGTTATGATTAAAGACGTGATAAACACACAAAATAAAGATGCGAAGTATAAAACAAGAACACAAGGACTTACGTGGTTTGCACTGTCACAAGCATGCTAATCTACCATTGAACTATAAAGAGATTTTATTAGATTGTAGAATGTACAACCATCACAAATGCTTTCCGCTTTTTGTTACAAATATACATGGGTATTTATTTGTAATGCTTCTTCGAAGGAATTGATTGATCCAAATCCTTTTGACACCAATCAACACCCCGTTTTGAGACATAGCATCATTGCATAAAAATGAAAGGCTTTTCCTTTCATAAACATGTATACAAGGATTTATTTCAATATTGAAAGACAACAACTCTTTCCTACACCAAATGACACAATCTCCATAAAAGAAAACCATGGACACTAATTAGCATGCCAAGCCCACCTCTAAAAATGAAAAATAAGCTTAGTCTAAGTTAACATAAACGAGAAAATGAGATGGTTTGTCCATATTTTAGATGAATTGAAACCGCACGAGTAACCTTGCGGATGTATATTGATCTCCTTTGCGGTTACAAAGTGGAATTGCACGAATCCCTGGCCTCAACTCAGAAACAGGCAAACAAATTTGGCCAGCAAAATTATCTTTTTCTGACATGTTGTAACCATGTACTTGAATACGAAGTAAAGCTAATTCAGGAACTGATAATGGAAATGTAAACTCTTCATTCCAAACAGGTGTCCAGTTGTCCTCCTTCATCTTTGTCTTTTTCATTTTCTTATCAACCGGTGCTCCAGCTATACCCACCTGTCTCATTTCATATACTATTTACTTACCATTTCATTTAAACATATCTTTTTAATAGTAAAGCTTTGATTGTTAAGTTAAGAGAGTAAAGATAATTACCCTGGTGTAGAAATCTGGTGGGGAGTATTTATCGAAATGAGTTTTTTTAAAATCAAAACGCCATCCATCTCCCATATAGATTTTCACCTGTTAAATAAAAGATCACGATGTAAGAAGAATTATTCCTATAGTTTAAGCAGCTAGAATATTTTGCTAATAAGGGTACGTATTAATTGACCTTTAAAGATGTTTTAGCTGGAATCTTTGTTTTAAGATTAAGCACCTCATTCTTGGGCCCATGTCCCATTAAAAAATCTGGTTTTTTCACATAACCACAACCTCCGTTAGATCTGAACATTCCATGCATTAACCACAGTGATCTACCATATCCCTGCATTAAATATAATATTAATTATACACATTAATTGGTTACTAAGACATCACAAAGCATTCAACTCTATAAAGTTTAAGGAACTCCACTTTACATACACCTTTACCATTTATTTCATACAATACATTGAACTCCAACATATTTTAAAAGAAAAAAACTTTTTTTTTCCAGTGAACTCCAAACCCATTGAATGCCAACCAATCATTAATTCACCTTATTAAACCATGCATTGTGAATGCTCTTAATACTTTGTTATTTACCATTAAACCATACTTTGTTATTTAGAATTAATATATACTTTGTTGTTTAAGAAATTATAGATATAGAAAAGTAGCTATAACCTGCATATTAAATGCAACCATTTGAGCTCCATGTAGCCAACCAATTAATGGCTTGTAATTGGAAGAGGTAATACGAGTTCCTTTGGGATAAATCCTAAGAATATTCTTCTGGCTGAACCTGAAAAAAAAAAAACATTCATAATACATATAAGAATGAAACGACATACAGATATTCGTATTATTAATATGTAACACCTTAAACCATAAGTTATAGACAAGCCAAGTAACCTATGTATAATATTAATGGAATGAGTTGTTATCAAACTTCATATATTTTATACCTTACTACATCATGCCCATGATTTTCTACAGCCTTTTCAAGTGCTTGTTCAACCAAACTTAGGCGTCTAACTTCATCATTTTCAACTTTCAATGCATCCTTCAATCCACCTTTTGGTTTCCCAGCATGAATAGCAATTAGCTGCTTGTAAACAGGAGATGAAGGTGATCTTTTTCCTTCATTAATGTCATTTTCTGACTGCAACATATAACACACACCATCATCATCAGAAACTCGGCACTTTCTTGACCTACTTTGCTTGTCATCTTCAGCTGCAAGGTACTCTTTTGGAGGTTTAGTTGAAATCAAGATTCGATACTTTAAGCTCTCAGGTGTTAGAAGTTCTTTCAACTTCTCTGATTCAGGGAAAAATAGCATTGACCCAAATGTTTCAGTGACCATTTGAGCTACTTTTGCTTGAAGATCAGGTGTAAGGTGGTCTTCGAGTGTTATGATGACTGGATAAGGAGAAGCTGTAAAGGCGTGATCTTTGATTGCTTTCAAACATCGCATGAGTTCTACAGGACTCGTCAGGGTCCTGCATGCAGCATGATGATGACTGTGAATATGATGGCGTACTCTTTGATTGGTTTCAAGTATGGAAGTAAGTTAATTGCATACCTTCCATGAAGAACATGCACATTAGTTTTTGATGAGTTTGGCCATAGATCAAGTTCTATGACTCTTACACCTCGTTTGAGTGCTTTGATGATTGGAATTTCACTGCATTTGCTGCTTAACTGGTTCCCAGTTAAGTACGAGTTGTGGCCGGTGTATATGAAGTAATGGGATAAGGGAGCAGTCATATCTTGGTGAACCTAAAATTTGGGCGAAATAAGCAACCATTTTCATCAATGAAATAGTACTTATACGAATCAAATCCAATATGGACTTGTTTGAATTCTCAATTAACGGAAGAAATAGAAACAATATTGGATCAAATCGAAGATACCTGTGATCTAATTGGGGGGTTAAGGTCGGTGTTGAAGAGAAAGTGATGGAAATCCTCTAGAGAAAGGGAGTTCCTGTTTATAAACTTGGCCAGATGATGCCGCTTGTAAAGTATCTGCTCCACCATACGCTCAGCTTCATGTCCATCGTCGCCCTGGTATTCTTCCAAAAACCGCCGGAACTGATCTGTCGTCATGTGGATCCCATCGCCGGAGTATTTCTTGAATGCTTCTTTGACGTCAGTAGGTGGCTCTGCTTCCGATATCTTGAACTTCCTAGTAAAACACCAGCATACACTGTAATTCCCCATTACCCTTTCACTCTGTGTGTAGATTCTCTCCGGCTATTTAGGGTTAGAAATGTGGGTGATGGGAATTTGGAATTTGGGTGAGTAAGTATATATAGAGTGTGGCTAAAGGTGATGGGCGATTGAGGATTACGCAACACAAACTGACTTTCCGCGATGTGCTTCTCTTTGTTGATTCTCAGATGGAGCGATGAGAGAGAGAGAGAGTGTGTGTGTGTGTGTGGAATGTTGATCTTCTGCTTGATTTAGTGTCGTCGATCGTCATGGGAGCACACAGAATCAATCAAGTCAAATGGAATGGTTTGAAGTATTCGCTTCCCGCCTTATTTAAATATTATCCGTCTAATAAATAAGGAGACTGGTTCATGTCTGCATAATGAAACTCTTGTAAAGTTAGTTGCTTCTTTGAAAAACTATCCGAAGTAGTGTTTTAAAATTATTCCAAATATACCTTTTAATATAATTAATTACAATAAAATATAATAACTTTTTTTATTTTTCTTGTGTTAGTACGTATTTTTAAAATCATAAATAAAATACTTAGAAATTTATGTTCTACAAGGGCCATTACTTAAGTAATGAACATACTTTATGACTTCAACAACAAATAAGATATTATATTTTGTTTTTGTTTTTTTTCGGATAACTAGAAAAAAATAAACAATGATGTTTTTTATGATTTCAGCAAGTAAATGAAAAAATGAAGATAAACCTACAATAATTTTTTTTTAATATATTTTAACAATACAAAACGATTAAAATAGATCTTTTTATTAATGTGTATAAATGTATTAAAGTCTCCTCGATTTGTCAAATATCCTTCCCTTTTTCCATAGCCATCTCGCCTTGGGGCATAGACATCTTGCAAAAAAAAATTCAATTAAACATAAATAATCAGAGAATATTATTTAGTAATAACTTTAATTTAATGAAAGTTTATACTATTTGTTTTATAAAATTGAATTATTTCTTTATAAGTTACTTTATGTCATTTTATATTTTCAACAAGTTTTTATTAAATATTATTTTTATCCGCAATTATTTAGTTTTTCAATTAATCTAACAAACATAAGGTTTCATTTTCTTTTATAATTATCATTAACAACTAATATTTTTTTGGTTTACTGTAATAATTCTTAATTCCGAAATGGACCGCTCCGGAACCAACTTTGAAAATCTTTGATTTGTTTCAAAAACTTTGAAATCTTTTATACTCTCTCGTCAGAGGTTATCATCGTTTGTTTGTTTTTTTTAAATGACACATTTTTATGACACCTTATTACAATCTATTTTTGTTTTACTAGGTTTATTTACCTTATCGTAAGATTTAAGATAATAATATGTTTTCCAGACACCATAAAAAATATTTCGGAAATGTCCCTTAGATTTTTGAGACACCGCATGCTATATTGCTTTTATCATTTTTACACAATAAAATGTTACCTAAGTATATCTATTTACTAAACTTCGTGATGTAAAACCAAAAATGAATAAATTAAAGCATTTTTTAAATTACTACCATATTAACAAAATTTGACTTTCATATTGCACCTGATTAAAATAATTTTTTTTATTTATGCACCACCGAAAATTTTTATCAACACCTTTACTTATATATATATATATATATATATAATATATATATATATATATATATATATATATATATATATATATGGAAAAAAATTCAACAGAGAACTATAATTATTGGTTCTTCAATGAATCAAATTTTTTTTTTAATTTCTAGAGCTTATTCTTTATCGAAAAAAAATCTAAAAATATCGAAATTCATATATTAACATTGTGAATGTGAAAAATATTTTTCGGATTCACACGATATTCACATTGTGAATTTGACGTAAAAAAATCGAATTTTATATCATTGGAAAAATGATAAAAAGTTAAGAATTTCTGTATTTTTAGTTTTTTATTTTTATTTTTATTTTTTTATTTTTATTTTATTTATAAAAATTAACTTCTAAAAGTTGAAAAAGATTGGTTCCTTGGTTATTATGGTTCTCTATTGAACCTTACTATATATATATATATATATATATATATATATATATATATATATATATATATATATATATATATATATATATATATATATATATATATATATAGGTCTAGGTTATTCTATTCAAAATAATTATTGTATTATTGTATGCATAACTGTGGACCAATCAAGTTTACTTATTTTAAGAAAATGATTAATATATATTATTGAATTAAATGTAATTGAAAAATATCATCTAATTTAATTACAAGGGTATTTTAGTCAATTAATATAAATTTAATAAAGAAAAATTGCATATTTTAAGGGATCATAGATTCTATTAATTTTAAAAATGCGATTTTACGAATTATAACTATTTTAATTCGGACATTCTGACAGAATATGTTTATTTATTTAATTATTTACTCAAAAATAAAAATATTCTTGAACCTATTTCTTGATCAAGACTTTAAGAAATTCTTGTAGAATAACAAATTTTTGAACAATCAATTGAAGAATAAAAACAAAAAATACATTATTTCTTATAGAATACGGGTAACAATTGTTAAGAATTACAACGACTAATACATTCTAAAAGAATAATGTGGTCCGTTTCAATTTTGTGGTCGGTTCTTCAAGCATCAACTTCTGTGATTCCAACAAAATTAGATTACGTGATTCCATTCCAACAGAATTGAAATCTCATCAATATCATCCATTGAATCATCTATATAAACATACTTGATACCTTTTCATAATTCAACGTTGTAAAGATCATTCACTGTCCACATAAATGAAGTGTTAAATCAGAAAAAAAAAACATAAATTAAAATATGAATCAGACCATATGAATCAGTCCCTTTGCTGCATCAATAAGACCATTTGAAAGAAACACATATGATCTCAATATCACTCAAAACCCCCAAATTCCACTTGAATTGGAATTATAAAGTTGGGTTATCAATTCCCGTAACAAACAAAAATGGAAGGAAAAAATCCTAAGGTGAAAATTAACTCGAACAGAGCTTCATGTTACTTCATTATATCAAAAATCGAATCTAACCAAATGTGACATCCCCAAAATCACGGCCACAAAAGACCGATTTCATTTATGCTTTTTGAAATAATTTCAGAGTAAATCCTTTTGATTTAAAAGAGTTGCGGAATTTGTTCCCAAAAACAAAATATGATAAAATAATATTTATCAAAACATTTCATCAAGAGATGCATTTTCATTATATAATCAAAACTCGGGATGTCATGTTCCGATACAGACCATAAAACATAAACGATAGTATTACAAGTCATTCAACAAATATATACATATACAGACTTGTAAACAAAACAACTTGATGATTCGTCTATCTTAAGCTCTTGCGCCACTTCCTGTAATACAAATAAACAGAGTGGGTCAGGCTTGGGAGCCTGGTGAGCATATAGGGTTTTCAACCCACAATAAATAAATTATATTTAATTTCACCAACCAACAATAACCCGATTACCCATTCCCGTTATCCTCACTTTACGTCCCTAAAACAACATCTATTATAAGGAACCTAATTCAGAATTTTCATCGGGATAGACATTACTGCAGAGGGGCTTCCTCAACAATAAGTGTCCTAAAGGCAACCATGTGGGGGATAGAGTACACCGGTGAACACATCGTTCACAACACCTACAGGTTATGAGTCTGCTAGTGTTCCACAAGACAGTATAGAATAGTCCATGGTCGTCATCCATACTCTGCTGAATGACTAGAATAACATCAACAACACCGAGGCCTCTCATCTATTTATTACACACCAACTATCTACCCATGTTCTACCCAACATATCAGTAGATAAAAATATATATTTTTATACATAGTTTAAAAACCTGTATAGCATGCTTTAATCAATACATATTCCACATAACAGATGAGACATACACACATAACACGTATTTCATAGAGAATAAATCAGATCTATGAGATAGAAGAGAGTGAATGTACACTCACATGTATAACAACAAAATATATACACATAACACATATTTTATATAAAATACTTCATAATATTGCGTTGGAATGAAATTGACTACACACTCACTTGATCAGAAGATGATCGGACAACACTACGGCTTGTAGAAGTAGTATTTCTCCGTAGATCTGGAAGATCATCACAAAACCGGGCTCCTCGCGGGCAGGGCTTCGGCTCGGGAATAACGCTCTTCGGGATCCTCGGGGCTTCGGATCTTGCTTCGGGGCTCAGGAATATTATCGGGGCTTCGGGGTATAAACGGCACGCTAAACGAGGCAAAGACTAGAGAGAGAAGGAAGAAATTTGAAAAGGATTAAGGCTACCTTCGTATCTCCTTTTATAGGAGGCTGGACCCCAGTGCATACGTTGGGCGTACGCCTCGGATCGTACGAACTCCGGATAATATCGGATATAATAAATAAATTTAAATATTAATTATTTAATAAACTTTGAAAATTCATATCTTCTTCATACGAACTCCGTTTTCGACGTTCTTTATATCCACGCGTAGGTGAGACTACGCTCTACAGCTTTTGTTTAGATACCTTCGGCTAATTTTGAATTTATTTTTATTATTTATTTTTAGGAGGCCGGGACAGAAAAATTTCGTTATAAATTCATAACTTCTTCGTCCGACGTCCATTCTCGCCTAACTTTTCATCGTTTCGCTACTAACAACGAGATCTTCGATTCTCGTTTAGATTGTTTTGGCTAAAAACCGCTCGATCTCAAATCGAGTATTCGGGCTGCATACTGCCAAGTCGAAACTTCAGAAAATCATAACTTCCTCATACGAAGTCAGATTTGGGCGTTCTATATATATTCGGAAACCTCGTTTCAACTACTACAACATGATCCAAAGATATCGAGTTTATTTTACACTTAAATTTTGACGCTCATTTTATTCTTAATTAATCATACCACATAATTAAGCAATTACGCACGAAACACATAATACTCAAATAATACGTTCTTATTATTTCAAATTGGGTTACAAAGGTTAACCTAGACTATTACATTGCTAAAAATGGCAAGCCCAAAAACACAAGCGTTACACCAAACATCGATTCACTCAAATACGAAGTTCGAAAGAAAAATAATTCAATCAAACAAGTAAAACACTAAACCTCGTAACCAACAGAGAAACTCGAAATGGACAAAAAATGGATCATCGGAAGAGAAAAAAACGCTGACTAAAGAGAAGAGAGTAAGCTAACCTGATTGGTAGAAGTTAGTTGATTGATTTG